AAATAATAAACTGTCTGGCAGCTTTGAAATCAACAGTGGACTTAAACAGGGTGATGCGTTATCTCCACTACTTTTTAACCTTGTATTAGAGAAAGCCATGAGATCGGAAATAAAAACAGAATTGCTATCGGTTCAAGGTCCCAAGCTGTTACTCGCATATGCAGATGACATAGACCTCGGAGACTCCATCCTATCCACGAAAGACATTTTCAGCAAGGTGGAAGGAGCAACAAGTGAAGTAGGGCTGAAGATTAAATGAAGAGAAAACGAAATATATGTGTATAAATAGAACGACACAAAGAGACAGAATAGGACAAAATGTTACGGTCAACACCTTCAATTTCAAAAGAGTACAACGTTTTAAGTATTTGGGGACCGTAATCACAGCTGACAACGATGTCACTGAAGAAATAAAAGACAGAATACAATCTGCAAACCGCTGTCTATTTGCACTGGATAAGCTCATAAAATCAAAAAATCTCACAAGAAGTTCAAAGATCAAAATCTATAAATCCATCGTTAGACCTGTAATAACATACGGATGCGAAACGTGGGCCATGACCAAAGCAAACGAAGAAAAGCTTGGACGCTTTGAACGAAAAATACTTAGAAATATTTTCGGACCTCACCATGACATGGTGAGTTAATTTGAGTTATGGTGAATTAAAAGTACTCTACAACGACGCCGATATTGTACAAGAAATTAAATCACAGCGACTAAGATGGGCAGGACACGTGCACAGACTGCATAACGATTTACATATTAATCGATTAGATAAGCCCTCTCACTATCCTAGCACCTTGACCTTCTACTCCATTCCTCAGATATTAAGCCCCTAAAAATCATACGAACAAGCTGAATTTTGCCGACAATGTCAATTTTGAGACCTCAAAAGTTTACCACGTTTGTCTCCGGGTTTCCTCCTACAAACCTCCCTCGTACGGGGGAAAATTGATAAAATCTATTTACTAAGAATCTGTACGCCGGAGAAAAAAATATTTTAAATAACAAATGTAGCCTAAAAAATTCTAAACAAAAACTTTTATTAGCACTTTTTGTGTAGAATTAATCATTTTCTCATAAACAACGCTTGAGCGGCCGGCGATTTCGAATGTCAGTTACGCGCGCGAAATCAATATTAAAGAAAATGTGTAACAATTCGAGGGTAAAAATTCAATATCTTTTGACCAGACTGTCTTATCGAAAAAATCAAAATGTGTTTTAAAGGTGAAGAGTGTAGCTTTTATATGCAATTTTTGGATTTTGCAGCAAATAAATTAGTTTCTTTAAATCAGTTTGCCATTTTTACGATTCTCACGAGAACAATAAATTTTATTACTTTAATTGACCGGTCGTAGTGGAATTTTCATTGCTACGACCTAATATTTAAAACCTATAACATGAAATTTCTATTTTGAGTTTTGGCAAAAAATACCGATATACCGTCTATAAGAAGACGGTATTAATTTGTAGCTGAAGTTGTGTACTTTCGAAGAACGTACTACTGTTTTTAAAAAAAGTAGTTCTAAACGTTTTAGACTGTTTATAACGTGGAAGTTCAAATTCAGCGTTTTTTTAGGTATATTTCAAATGCCTCACATCTATTACCAAAACTCAAAACTAAAATTTTATGCTATAGATTTTGAAGTATAGGATCTAATAATATAAACTCCATATCGACCGTTCAATGAAAGTAATAAATTGTATTGATCTCATGAGAATCATATAAGAATGGCAAGAATCACGCTACGTTTATTTACTTAATACCCTTATAAAACTTTAAAGTTTTATAAGGGTATTAAGTATTTATAAGTATAAACTCTTATTAAACTATAAAGTTTATTGGTAGAATATATGAAAATTCATAAATTGCATACAAAAGCTGTACCTCACCTTCACCTTCGAAACACATTTTGATTTTTGTCGATAGGATACAAATTTTATTTAACATTATTGATTTTGCTCGCGTAACTGACATTCAAAATCGCCGGTGGTTTCAGGCATTGTTTCTGAGAGAACGGTCTATTCTACGCCAAAAGTGCTAATAAACACGTTTGTCCAAGATTATCTTACCTACATTTTTTATTTGAAACATTTTTTTCTACGATGTACAAATTCTTGGTAAATAGAATTTTTTAGTTTTTCCTCCATTACGAGGGTGCTTTTAGTGGGAAGCCCGGTGATAAAAGTGGTTAACTTGTTTGCATTTTTTTTTGCGGTCCCAAAATTGACATTATCGGCAAAATTCAGCTTGTTTATGATTTTTTGAGGTTCAGTAACATTTTCATCCCTAAAGACCGGAGTATGGCAAGTGGTCACAATAAAGAAAAGAAGAATATTACAATAAAATGAACTCCTACTGGTAGATGAGGCGAAATTAGTCACAAAAACGATGATAAAATCATCCTGATCCTTGGTAGGCCTAAACGACAGCAAAAAAATCGATTAAATACGGTATAGAACAAAATTTCAGTTGGCTCTTTTATCCCTTTTTCAGCATCAAATCGCTTGTTTTAAAAATATATTTTTGTATAACATATAACAAAAGAAATAAGTATCAAGCTTGAGGAAGAAACAAAAACGATCGAAAACTTGGTACAGACAGACATTGAAGTGACATGGACTGCTCTAAAAACAAAAATAACAAAAATACAAGAAGAAGACATCGGGTACAAAAAACACAACAAAAAACAAGAATGGATAACGCAAGAGATTATGGACCTCATGGACGTAAGACGACAACATAAAACAAGCCCAATAGAATACAAGCGAATCAATAAAATCATTAGAAAAAAGTGCAGGGAGACGAAAGAAAACTGAATGTTAACAAAATGCCTAGAAATCGATCAACTTCAAGAAAAATACGACACCTTTAATATTCATAAAAAAGTAAAAGAAATGACAGGTAGACACAAAAGGAGACAAGCAACAATATTAAAAAATGAAAATAACGAAATAATTATGGGTACAGAAGACAAACTAAAGAGATGGAAAGTATACATACAAACTCTTTTTGATGACGATAGACCTTGTTCTCCACCATTCACAAATAATCGAATAAATGAAAAAGGCCCAGAAATAACCAAAGAAGATGTGATTCACGCAGTAAAATCTCAGAAAGATGGAAAAGCCACCGGTCCAGATAATATCAATGTCGAAATACTAAAACTAATTGTAGATAACGAAAGTAAAAGCCTAGACTTAATAACAGCACTATTCAATAAGATATATGACACAGGTAAAATACCAATAGACTGGCTAAAATCAACATTCGTAGCATTACCAAAAAGATCGGATTCCTCACAATGCGATGATTATCGAATATTAAGCTTGATGTCTCATGTTCTTAAAACTTTTCTCAGAATTATACATACACGAATTTACAAGAAGTGCGAGTTTCAGATGAGTGACACTCAATTCGGATTTCGAAACGGATGGAGAACACGAGAGGCTCTGTTTGCTTTAAATGTGTTAACGCAACGATGCAGAGACATGAATGTAGATGTATATGCATGTTTTATTGACTATCGAAAAGCATTTTACTGTGTTAACCATCAAAAGATGATCGAAATTCTGAGAACAACTGGAGTTGACGAACAAGGCTTGCGAATTATCTCAGAACTGTACTGACACCAAACGGCAACAATTGAAATAGAACACACAACATCCGAAGATATACAAATTCGACGAGGAGTGAGACAGAGTTGCGTCTTATCACCCCTTGTTTAATTTATATTCGGAGTCTATATTAAGAGAAGCATTAGATCAGGTCCAAGGCGGAGTTAAGATTAACGGAATCAGCAGAAACAACATCAGATATGCTGATGATACTGTCTTAATAGCAAGCAACGCACAAGAACTACAAAATGTAATAAATGCGGTAGTTCACCACAGCGAAATGTTCGGCTTCCATCTAAACGTTTCCAAAACGAAAACTTTAGTATTCTCAAACACACCAATAAACCTACATGTGTATGCCAAAGGTCAAATGATAGAACAGGTAAATTCCATAAAATATTTGGGAGCAAATATCAATAGTCAGTGTAATCCAAAAAAAAAAAAAAGAAATACTGTCAAGAATCGAACAAGCAAGGAAAACATTCATGAGCATGAAAACATTTTTTACAAGATCAGACCTTAGTCTGCAGCTTAGAATCCGAATGATTAGATGTTACGTTTTTTCTGTCTTACTGTATGGCTGTAAAAGTTGGACAATGGACTCTGAAATAGAAAAAAGAATAGATGCCTTTGAGATGTATATATACAGACGAATATTGAGAATTCCATGGGTACAAAGAGTTACTAGTGTTGAGGTACTTCGTCGAATGTGTAAACAAAAAGAATTACTAAGAGTAATCAAAGAGAGGAAAATGCAATAGTTGGATCATGTGTTGAGAGGCGAAAAATATGAATTACTTCAAGTTATACTGGAAGGAAAAGTACTGGGCAAAAAAATCAGTAGGAAGACGCCAGAACTCATGGCAGAAAGACCTAAGCAGATGGCTCGTCCGCTCATCCGCATAAATCTTTCGCGCAGCAGTTTCCAAAAGCACAATTGCCATTTGGATCGCCATTTTATATGCCCAAAAATTTCTAAATTAATTTAACTATAACCTTTGCGAAGCTATAGGCCCAATCTTGGAAGAACTTAACAGGCAAGAAATAAAAAAATGTAACTACGAAAGTGTAAAAGAATCCTGTAATAATTATTATATATAAAATAAAAAGATCACTCTAGTCAATTTTGTTCCAATCAATTAGGTTTTTGGCGCATAGTAACTCGATATTTAATCGTATCTAACGTTTTGTAATACTTCATACTTTCCAATAATCCTATATGAAGATAATTATAAAAAAAATAAACGTAGATTTTTTTAAATATAATATTTTTCACGAACACAAAAAAATGGGTATATTTTTGAGATACTATAAATATATGTCATATTGAGAATTTTTTTAATATTTAATAAATCTCTTTAAAATGAAGGGTTGTACCTACCTAAACTAACTTGACACGTTACAAACACAACACAAGAAGCGAACACTAATATCGTCCTGAAAGCCATGTTGTCTATCAGTTAATAATCACAAGAAAAAAAGAAGCACATGTACCTATTGGAAACGTCTATTAAAAAAGTGCTTACATCAAATAATTTTAAACAATCGGTAAGGTAGCTATTTGAAAGTTCCATAATAAGTAAATACCTCCTGCATTCCCCACCTTGGACCAACGATAGTAAAAGTGAAGAAATACATCTTGATATCAAATTACCGGGGTAATAATAATAGTTTTTTTTATATTTATTAATATATTAAGAGCACTATGAAGGATATTGACGGAAGATACATTACTATATCGAATTACGAAAAGTTTCGAATCGGATATATTTTTTTCTTTTATTATCGAAATGTGGGAAGTCTACAAGTATAGTTTAAACCAGTGGTCGCCAACCTCTTCAATGTGTTGAGCTACTTTGTTAATTTTGGAATAAACAGTGAGCTACCCACACGGAAGCCATGTAACGCAACGTAAATGAAATAATCCACAGTTAATCTATCATTATATGTATTTATTTTACTGTTTAACTGGTAATACATAATACATAGGTACTAATAATAAACTAATAACAAAATAACTAATATTACTAGTACATACTTGTTCATAGCTACATTCCTGCCTATCAAACGAAGGTATTTGAAAAATAAACACAAACTTTTATCCAACCACAACGGCATGTCACGTATGATTTAAAAATAGTTAATAATATCAACAAAAAAGTAACGCACTATCATAAACATAAATATTGAAAAATAAAAAAGCACGTTCAGTGAGAAGGCTGACATTTAGACTCATCGATAATTTTTTTCGTATTGGAAAAAGAAGATTCACACAAATAGTTTGAACTGAATAATGCTTTCATTTTTAAGGCAACACGGCATAGAACTGAATATTTGTCTTTACTTACAATAGGCCAGATACATTCAGTGCTTGAGACTAACGATTTTAAGGCTAAATCATTTTGAAACTCAATGACTTCCATTTCTGTTGCAGCGATGTCTTCGCCAAAGTTCTGCATAACACAAGCTGCAAACTGCTGGATATCAATTTCCATAAAGGGTGAAACAACAAACTGCGCTACTAAAGCCATTTCATTGAAATCCTTAAAACGATTTCTGAAGTTACTCTTCAGGGTAGAAATTATTTCTACATGATATTTGTTGTCATAGGGTTCTAATGGATTTTGAGATATTTTTTCTGAAAGAATAGGAAAATGCTTGGAATCGCTGTTAATTAGGTTTTGTTCCCAAAACTCCAGCTTTTTGATAAATGCTTTTATATCAGAAATCATTTCCGCTAGTTTTTTGTCTCTCTCCTGAAGCTGCAAATTAAGTTCGTTTAATTTCTCTGTAATGTCCACGAGAAAACCAAAATCTCTAAGCCAGATTGAATTTTCTAGTTCAAGAGTCGGTTCATCACGTTGTGTGAAAAGTTGAACTATGCCAGATAGGACATAATTAAAACGTTTCAGCACCCGTCCTCTACTTAACCATCGGACTTTAGAGTGAAGAAGTAGGTCCCCGTATTGACAGTCAACTTCATCGGCCAAGGTTCTGAATAATCTTCTTTGTAACGCTTGAGCTCTAATCTTGTTCACAATTTTTACCACCAGTTTCATAACGTTGTTTAGTTTCAGAAAATTTCCACATAATGCTTGCTGATGGATAATGCAGTGATAACAGAGAAATTGCGGAAAAGTTTCATCTTTACGACATAATGCCACCAGACTCTTATCACAACCCACCATAGCTGGAGCGCCATCGGTTGTCAAGCCTATCATTTTTGATATTGGAATTTTCTCGGAAGAAATAATATTTTTTAAATTAGAAAACAACTCCTGTCCAGTAGTATGTCCTTTCAGTGGAATGAACTTCAAAAGATCTTCTTTAATCGTAAAATCACTAAAACCATCCTGACGAACACGGCCATCTGGGCAGTGTCAACGACATTCTGTTGAATCTTCTAGTTGAAGTGAAAAATAAACACAGTTATCTAAGTCAGTTCTTAACTGTAAAAAAATATTGCTCATTACTTCTACACGTCTCATCACTGTATTAGCAGAAAGTTGCATAGATTTTATAGCTGAAACTATCTCGTCTTTATTTCTAAAGTTGGCAAATAACGAATCAGCAGCTTCTTAAAAGGCATGTTTTATTATTTCCCCGTCTTCATAAGGTTTCTTTTTTTGTGCAATTATCTGGGACACACGGTACGATGCTCCAGTTGCAACCTTATTTTTGTCGACTGTTCTTAAAAATATTGAATGCTGTCCAATTAACTGTTTTTTTAACTGTTTCAGTTTCTCCTTTCTGGAGGTAGAATATAGTGGGAATGATTTTTCATAATTAGAATGTACAGTTTTATGATGTCTCTCAATATTTCCTTTTTTAGCAACGAAGACCGAAGTATTACATAATAAACACACATTTTTATCTTTAACTTCTGTAAAAAAGTATTGTTCTTCCAATTCCGAATAAAAGTGGTATGTCTTTACCTTCTTACAACTGCTTGCCACAATATTATTTTTGTTGTTCTCTACTAACCCAACCGCTGGACGTTGGTTACGCGTTCAGTTTTAAACTAAGCGCAATGTTATAAAAATAAAAACATTTATTGCCCTAATAATATCTGACATTTCATTTTATTCATTTAAGTCTTCTTGCGACGTCCGGCTCTTGCACCGTCAGCTTCTGATGTTTTCTCCTCTCGGCATCCTGGACTTCTCTGGGTGGTTTCCTCGTCTTTTTCTGTAGGTACTTATTTCGGCATCGTACCTACTTCCCTAAGCGCAATGTTGCCGCGCCGTGCGTATTTATCCCGTTCAAAGCAATCCAGATCGTTCTCGAACACTAACGCGCTGGTCCTACTGGTCGGTTCTATAAATACCCGATTCTAGCTTGACGGCGTCAGGGGCAGATCGCTCACCGCAACGTTGCCGCTGTTGATGTTTAATATTATGACAATTAGATTTTTTCTGGAAATTTTGGAAGCTTCTCTGATTTTTGCAGTTTGTATTTTTTAAATTAAAATCGTTGTGAGAGCTACCAGAATTGACTCCGCGAGCTATCGGTAGCTCGCGATCGACAGGTTGGCGACCACTGGTTTAAACGGATATAATGTTACCATGATTTGAACATGAAGGTGTATCTTGAGAAGCTTTTCAACGGTGGATGGATTTCGTGAAGCTTGGAAGCGATTTTGCTTCAGTGATGTTGCTAAAACCTTTGAATGGAATTAAAAAAAGACTGTATGTCTATATGTAACTACATGTTTTCAGTCTTAAAATTAGAAAAAACGGCTTCTTTTGCAAAAGGGTCAGCGAGTTAGCAATACAGCCAACAGCTCTATTTATACATATACATTTATATATACTATACAAGCTATCATCATCATCACCAATTAGCCTATATTTGTCCACTGCTGAAGGTAGGCCCCCCGTAAAATTTTCCACCTATTTCTGTCTTAAGCTTCTTGCATCCAGTTTGTTTTGATGCGCTTGATATCATCCGTCCATCTAGTCAGTGGTCGTCCCCTGCTTCGATATGCATCTTGCCTTGGTCGCCATTCCAGAATCTTTTTTATTTCTAGGTTTGGTACTTTATCTCTGATGGTAATACCTAATATTGATCTTTCCATAGCGCGTTGTGTAACTCTTACTTTATCTATTGTTCTTTTTGTCAGAGTCAGTGTTTCTGCACCATATGTAAGAACCGGTAAAACGCACTGGTTAAAAACCGTTCTTTTTAAACAAACTGGGATACTAGACTTGAAAAGGTCATTCAATCTACCATAGGCAGCCCATGTGACACCTATCCTTCTTTGTATTTCAGTTGTCTGATTATCTCGGCCTAGGCGAATCTCATGCTTTAGATATTTGTAAGCTATTACTTCGTCGATGCTATGGCTCTCAATCAGAATTTTACCGCTGACGCAAGGTTGGTCATAAATTTTGTTTTTGAGGTGTTAATTTTAAGACCAATTGTTTTTGACCCTTTATAGAGCGTGTGCAGCATTCTTGTTGCTTTATCAACTCTATCAGATATTAAAACGATGTCATCGGCAAATCTTAGGTGGTTCAGATCTTCACCATTTATATTAATTCCCATATTATTCTCTCTTTCCATTTGCTTGAACATATATTTAAGAACAGCTGTAAACAATTGAGGGGAGATAGTATCACCCTGTCTAATTCCACGTTCTATTTGAAACTTCTTGGTGTCTCCATGAAGGCGGACACAAGCTGTACCAGTTTCGTAAATACTTTTAATCAAGGCAATATATTGGTAGTCAATGCGGCAATCAGCCAATGCTCGAAGCATTTTATGATGATCTATAGCATTGAACGCCTTTTCATAATCTACGAATATAAGAAAGATAGGCTTGTTATACTCTGTAGACTTTTCTATTAGCGTTTTTACAACTTGCAGATGATCATTTGTTCCGTCTCTGGAGCGGAACCCAGCCTGTTCACAAGGTTGGTAACTATCCAGTTTGTTCACAAGCCGTTTTGTTATTATCTTTATGAATAGTTTGTATGTATGGGAGAGCAATCTAATAGGTCTGTAGTTCTTTATGTCTGAAATGTCACCTTTTTTGTGCAATATGGTTATTATTGCATTATGCCACTGGGAGGGGGTTATGCCTTTTGTCAAACAAGCATTGAACATCTTTTTCAACACATTTAGTAACGTTCCTTTTCCTTATTTGATTTGTTCAATGACTATCCCATCTTCTCCAGGTGATTTATTGTTTTTCATCTCCGAGAGAGCTAATTTTATTTCCTCTGTTGTGATATCTGGGATATCTTCTGAGCCTACATTTTAAACTTTTAGTATTTGATTTTGATCAGGATCTGGAAGTTCTTCTGGCTTATACAATTCTGAGTAAAAATCTTGAGCAATTTTTAAAATATCTTCCTTATTTGTTGTAGTTTCTCCTTTTTTATTTACAAGTTTACAAATATTTTTTGATCCTTCAGTCATTTGTCGGCGCAGAAGACTATTTTCATTTAGTTGTTCTACTTCTTTAAATTCTGAAGTTATGAAATTCTGATAAGCTACCCTATCTTCTATCGATTTCCATTTATTAGAAT